GGGTGCGCGGCTCCCTCGGGCTTGAGGTGCGTCCCCGGGCCCGGCCGAGGGAGCGGGAGGCCTCTCAGCCTCCCCTGGCCATGGCGGGCTCTGCTTTCCTCCTCCTCCGGGTCCCCACTCTCTCAGGGGGAAGAGTTGTCCACTGACTGTCCATGACTGTCCAAACCCAGAGCCTCGGCGCAGCAGAGCAGGAGGCAAACGCCTCACGCCGCTCCCGGGGGCGGCGGGTGCTGGCCCGGTGGAACACGGCCCTGTCCGCCTCGCCTCCCCTCGCACAGGTGAAGACCCAGTGCTCCCCTTTGCTGGGGGATTTGCTCGTTCTCCATCCGCTGCAGCCCTTTTTCGGGATCAGAGCGGAATCATCACACATACACGCCTCTCAAACCCCCAAGCGCTGATGTCTTGTTAGGCTGACAAATGGTTTTACCAATTTTAGCCTAAAAACTGTCCTAGAACATACAGCAATCTCAGGCTGAAGCATGGGAATAGAGCTGGAGACTTGCTGGCCTTCAGGCCCGTTGTTGGTTCTCTCACCTGCCGTTCCTAGGGCTGCAGAAGAACGTAGGGAAAAAAATAAATCCTTAGGAGAACAGAAATGTAAAAAAAACCAAAAAATTTTACTGATAGATCTGTGCCAGAGCTGGTTTCTTTTTCTTCTCTGGTTTCTAGTGACTAGATAGAGAGGTGCAAATAAACAAAAAGCATTTTCTGTGCTAGCAGAGTCTCCCAGTTGCATGCTTACTAGCATGCAGATGAATTTTGAAACTGCATTGTGTTTTGACTTGAATCTAGGAAAATAGAAGACAATTAGACATTTGCAGCCCAGGCCCTCAGCTGATACGTATGGCTATAATCCCCATTTAAGTTATATGAAGATCAGGTTGCCTTTCTCTTTTGAGAAATTAGCAAATTTGGGGCCAGCAGGAAAATAATATTTATGCTAGCCTTGGGACATGATTTTATAAGCTGTCAGAATCTTGCCGATGTCAGCCTTAAAAAAAGTTTTGCCGTAGTTTAGTAGTACCTATTTGGGAATGGCTAGTGAAACATTACTACTAAAATGTCTTAATTTTTAAAAAATGCCTCTTAATGCTG